CCCCGCCTTAACCCTAGTCCTGACCCAGACCCTAACTCAGACTCCGTTTCTGACCATAACCCTAACCGTAACATTAGACTTAGCCATGGCCCCAACAGTAACCAAATGTAGCCTCAATCCTAATCCTAGCCTTAACCCCAACCCTAACTGCAGCCACCAACCAAGCGCACCAGATAGGAATCACAGCTGGGGCAGAAGCTGACACCATGAGACCTTCATGGGCCCGGCCCGGCATAAAAAGAGGTGCTCCCTGTGTGTCTTCCGCAGGGCGCCGACCTACCTGAATGAGCAGTATATCGTTGAGGTTCTCCTCAGGGTTGTAGTTGTTCTGGAAGACCTGAACGATGGTGAATTTCTGCTGCTCAGGCTCCTGGCTCTGCAGGTCGTGGGCACCCAGCACCACTGTCACGAGCTGCCAGGGGCTGTGGGGCCAGGGTCGTGGAATTTTGTTTGTTACAGGGACCCAGGCCCTCTCACCCCTGACCACGCCCCAGCCCCTCACCGGGGGAGTCTTTGTGAGAGGAACGCTTTTTGGTAGTTTCCTGGAGTAGAAACTGGGGCAGAGCTGAGGCCGGAAACATGGAGAGAGGGAAAGGACAGGGAGGGGGAGTGACTACGGGGCACCCAGCCTGGTGGATGTGATCCAACCAGGGCTATGCGGTCAGCTAAGCCCTGCAGCCCCTCACTGGCCCCTGGCTGTTGTACTCACATGTCCTGCAGGCAGTGGGCAGCCGTCAGCACGAACCGCGGGTGGATCAGCGTGCCACCACAGAAGTGGCTCCCAGGGGACCTGCTCAGCTGCAGAGATGCCATATAAGGCCGAGAATGGGGCTGAGCCTCATGTCCACCCACGATCTGGGAGGCCTGGACTGCTCCTGGGGGAGGAAGGTGTCAGGGCTAGGGCCTCGGGGAGACCCGTGCCTGGGGAGGAGTTGCGAGTCCTGGCATGAATCTATGGCTATTTTTTTTGTTGTTGTTTTGGGACAGTGTTTCACTCTGTAGACCAGGCTGGCCTCGAACTCACAGAGATCCATCTGTCTCTGCCTGAGCTGGGATTAAAGGCGTGGGCCACTAATCCCAGTTTCTGTAATTCTGCATTCCCTAGAAATCCCTCTCCTACAGCAAGCGCCTCTGGGTAGCACAGTCATAGAGACTTCTAAGACAAAACGATCAGGAGACTGAGCTGGGCTGCAACTCAGTGGGCAGAGCACTTGTTCAGCAACCGTAAGGCCATGGAATCCATCTCCAGCAGCACAGAAAGCCGGCATGGTGATGGAAGCCTGCCATCATAGGACGGGGAGGGGAGACTCGAGGCTCGGGAGTCCAAACTCACATCCCTTGGCTATAAAGTGAGTTCAAGACCAGTCTGGGCTCAGGAGACCCTGTCCAAAGACCCGGCTTCTCCCTCTTCATCCTTCTCCCCCCAAGCATTTAGCCAAAGGGTGCACCGGTCTCCCCACCTGTGCTGGGAGGGTACTGGTTGATGGACAGAACCTTACTCACCACCAAAGGCCAGGGCAAGCAGGAGGAAGAGATGGACCCAGCAGGGGGATGGGTGGTTTCTGGCCATGGCCAGGCTCCTGGCCCCCTGCTCGCCGAGTCCCTCTTATAGTCCAGCTCTATGGGGAGCCGTTGAACGGCAGCTGAAGGCCGACCGGGCTGGGTATTCCACTTCCTCCTTCCAGTTTTGGGGCCCAGGAGAGTATGCAGAAAGGCAGGATAAAGGGGTCTCTCTGGAGGCGTGGGAAGCCAGCTGCCATCCACTGCATGCTGAGGGTCCTGGAGGAGGCTTGACTGACAGCCACCAGGCTGCAACCCACAGGGCCCTGTGATCCGATCGATTATATCCTGCCTGGGTTTTCTCTTGAGAGATCATCATTATTTCTCCTTAGTGTGGTAGTGTGCTTTCCCTTTCTGCAGTGGTTGACCTTGAACCCCCTTCTGCTCCTGCCCCAGCCTCCTGCGTCTGGGATGACAGACTTTGCTTTGCTTTCAACTGGGATCGTTTCCTATTCTTTCCTCTCTCTCTCTCTCTCTCTCTCTCTCTCTCTCTCTTTCAAATAACTTTAACATTGGGGCTGAAGTGATGGCTTAGTGGTTAAGAGCACTGCCTGCTCTTCCAGAGGTCCTGAGTTCAATTCCCAGCAACCACACGGTGGCTCACAGCCATCTGCAATGAGATCTGGTTCCCTCTTCTGTCATGCAGGCATACATACAGGCAGAACACTGTATACACAATAAATTAATAAATCTTTTTAAAAAATAACTTTAGCTTTTTTCTGCTTCTTTCTCTCATTTTTATCTTTGCACAGGCAGATGTGTAGACACACATGTCCGTAGATGCCTGAGGTCAGCCAAGACACGTTCCTCGGGTCCTCACCGCCTGACACACGGTTTCAGTCAGCCAGCTCACCAGTTTGCTGGTTGTGGTGGAGGTGGGGATCCCTGTCATTGCCTGGCCCTGCTCCCACCCAAACTTGGGAATACAAGCAGGCTGTCTCCACCATGGGGCTCTTCACCAGGTGTGGGGCAGGGACAGTTCGGGGGAGCAGAACGCCAGTCCTCTCTTGTGCCACAAGCACTTGACCCACTGAGCTATCTCCCAGCCCCCTTCCCTTCCCTTCCCTTCCTATCACCCGCCCCCCTTGTTAAATCTCAGGCTGACCCAGAACTCACATCAACCCTCCTGCCTCCATTTCTCAAGTGCTGGGATCACAGGGCAAATATATTCATTTATTTTAAAACAGTCTAAACTCAGAATGCTGGAATATAGGTAATGGGAATGGGGAATGGCAAAGTATTTCCCTAGGATGTGTGTTCCACCCCAGTACTACAAAAATTAATTCTTTCCTTCCTACATGCATCTCTCTCTCTCTCCCTCTCCCCCCAGTGGTGTGTGTGTGTGTGTGTGTGTGTGTGTGTGTGTGTGTGTGTGTCAGAGGACATCTCTCAGAAGTCAATTCTTTCCTCCCACCATAGGAGTCCCTGGTAGTGAACTGAGGTAGTCAGGTTTGACGGCTAATGCCTTTCCCCTTTGAGCCGTCTTGACAGCCCACAAATAATTAAATTGAGTTAAAATAATAAACCACACAAAGAGAAAGAAACCACAGACCTGTCAGACTGGAAAAAGAAGAGAGAGAAGAGAGAGAGAGAGAGAGAGAGAGAGAGAGAGGGAGGGAGGGAGGGAGGGAGAGGTTGGTTTTTTCGTTTTGAAATGCAGCCTTGCTGGCAGAGGTCCACGGGGTTCCAGGACGACCTGCTTACACAACTCAACGGCTGGGAGACTGGGCCCAGTGTCGGTAATGGAACTGTCCAAAGTTCTTCCTCATGCCACACCTCCCCTGCCATGCCACACCAGCGTCTTCTGCTCTTCAGAGAGAATGCTTGGTGACCTTCCATCTGGTCTGTCGCTTGCCAGGCTCGGGAGCCACGGCGTGTCCTGTCCTGGGGACCTTCTGTTCCCGGACATTTCTGAGACAAGATCTCATGTAGACCAGGCTGGCCCCAAACTCAAAGAGCTGTGCCTGAGTGCTGGGGTTAGGACTCAGGAACTTTGATCCTCCTGGCCCAGCCTCCTGGAGGCTGGGATTGCAGCAAAGCGTGTTAGGATATGATGCTCGGCCTCCTGCCCTTGGTCTTAAGCCAGCCATGGCTCCCCAGCCACTGCTGACATCCAGACTCCTCAGCTAGGCCACATGGCCACCAGAGCCCAGCTCTTCATATCCATTGGAGATTCCACCCTGGAAGACCCAAAACCCTCCTCCCCTACTCATCCCCTGCCGGTCACACTGGCTGCCACAGCTTCCTCCTTCTCCCAGGACCTTCATTTAGGGACCTTCCTTCAACACTAGAATTCCTAGGAGGTCAACCAAGCTCCTCCCCAACTGACAGGGAAACTGAGGCCAAGGGCTCCTCTGTGTCCTTTGGTTTTTCCTCTCTCAGCTTCTGAGGCTGGGACATCATCACAACTGACTGCAGCTTTCCTGTGCGCTGTGACCCAGGAACTACGGCGAAGGGCTGGCCCCGGGGGATTGGTCCACCCCTTTTCCTGGACACTGGTGGACCGCGATGTCCTTGAGCCTACGTGGGCCACTTTTACCATCCTCTCTGTCACTTGTTTGTTTCCCATTTTTGAAATGGGGACTCTGCAGCCCTGGCTGACCTGGAACTCACTCTGTAGACCAGGCTGACCTCAAACTCAGAGACCTACCTGCCTCTGCTTCCTGAGTGCTGGGATCATAGGTGTGCGTTACTTCATTTGCTTGTTTTTGAGACAAAGTCTGACTGCAGTACAGACTGTAGCCCAGGCTAGCCTAGAACTCACAACAATCCTGCCTCATCTTCTTGAGTGTGGGATGACAGGTGTGGACCCGCCATACCAAATACTATTTCTTTTCTTTGATTCTTTTTCTTTTTTCTTTTTCAAGATAGGTTTCTCTGTAGCTTTGGAACCTGCCCTGGAACTAGCTCTTGTAGACCAGATTGGTCTTGAATTCACAGAGATCCGCCTGCCTCTGCCTCCAGAGGGCTGGAATTTAAGGTGTGCATCACCACCGCCTGGCTGGTTTTGGTTTTGTTTTGAGACAGCGTCTTGTTGTGCAGTCCCGGAGTTATTTAAACTCATAGCAATTCTCCTGCCTCATCTGCCCAAGAGCGGCACACCACCATGCCTGGTTCCATGCAGGCATCTCTGTGCAGCAGGAACATTTGCCGCATGTGGCCACTAGGCCGGGGAACTTGCTGTTCCCAGAAGGAAACTCTGAAATTGAGCTGAGGTTGAGTTTGGGGAAACAAACACTGTGAGTAATGGGGATGGACAGAGAGAAGGGCAGGAGCGGTGGGGTGGGCAG